CTCCTTCCCCTGAGACATTTTGTCATTAGTGCCAAGATGGTAAATTCCACTTGCTTCACCTGAAAGACAAATTTCTTTCTCTTTCTTTCTTCTCTTCTTTTTTTCCTTCTGTCTTTTTTCTTTCTTCCCTTTGCTCTGCCTCTCTTTCATTGTCTCTTCCTTTCTTGTGTTTAATGTAAATGTCGGTCTTGCTGCCTGTGTTTCAGGGTAAATAAAGGCCTAAGGGAGACATCAGTAAAAGGACTTTTGTTCTTATTTTTATGTACCACACATAGAGACGAGTCTCTGGCCAAAATAAAACCAGATAAGATTATCTGATTTTATTTTCTCCGCATCTGCAGCTCAGTGTAATTGCTATCACAGCTGGATGTGATAAGTTTAAACATCATAATGTGACCCGAGATATTTTATTTGGATGAATTATGTTTTCTGCTTCTGAAGTCTATAAAGGAGCCATAGGAAGTCACTCAGATTGGAGGTTTAGTCGAGGTTTTCATAATTCATAAATAGGCCTGAATTAATAATGAAGGCACTCTGCCTTTCTTCTTATATGTCTTTACAATTTGATCAATTTAAATTAGTTTTATGAGAAATATTTTTCTCATAAAATGCACATGTTGGGGTCCTGTTCATTAAAAAATATTCAGACAAACGCAGTCATGGTAAGAAAGGACACTGTCTTTCAAGCCTTGGGTTTGACATATTAGCATGTCAAACAGATTTTCACTTCAGATTTGTTATTTATCAAACAAATCTGAAGTGAAAATCATAAAACTATGAAAGAAAACGGTCCGGCCTTGCTGCTTCCATCAGAATCATGAGGGAAAGCAGCAGCCAGTCGCTGTTAACCACATGTTGCAGTAGAAGACAAATTACAGTGTATGACTGTTTTCTATAAATTATTTGCCAATTATTTTTATGCACTCAAAGATTAGAATAGATTAGAATAGAATAGAATAAAATAGAATAAAATAAAATAAAATAGAATACAATAGAATAAAATTGAGGCCATTTTTCCATACCTGCATAGATCTGGCCAATGAAAGCTCAGCATTGCTGTGACTTAAATGACTCAATGCAATTGGCTGTCAACTGTTGCTGTTTTCGCCACTTGCTGCAAGGTCAGGGAATTCTTGCACTTGGCTGACTTCAGATTATTTTTTAGACATTTTTACCACTTTGAATAATACACTGATCTTATACTGTTCAAAAGGCAGGGTGAAATGCAGTGGATGTAATTGACTATATAGGTGCCTATGTAGTTACGATGTAATTGACAGAATATTCCTAAATATGAATTGGATTTTTTCTTGTTTTTCTTTTTTTGCAAAGTGCCTGGAAACAACATAAATAAACAAAATTGAAGTATATCAAGATAATAAAGAGGATATTGCATAATACAGGCAAATGCAAAGTTGGTGTCTGAACTTTGCAGTCTAAATCAGTGTTAAAACACCCAGTAAATAAGTTGTCTGTCCTGGTCACTAAAATGTACACACAGAGAACAGGAGGACAAATGGTCATAATGATCTTATTCAGAATGTTCTACATATTGTGTATATACAGTAATAAAATTATCTGTTATATATGTATGTATAAAACTTGGATAAGATCATTTTATGAACACATTTGCTATTTTACTTTTATATTTTTGTATTTTGTTAAATCTCCCTGATTTCAAACATCGCCATTTATTGCTTATCTCCGTTTTAAAGTTTTCATTCTGTCAGCAGTATGTGTGTGTGGGACACCCACAGATTTCACTGTGTCGTGCTGAGGAGGGAAAAAAGCATGGGAATGTAGCTTTTCGCCGTTTAGGAGAATCAGTTAACTATCCATCAACAAAGATCAGGTTACACTGACAAGTTGGTTTCACACTACTGGTCATTGCTTTCACTGACGGGGCAGTTTTTTATGTTTTTTTTTTTTTTGTTGTTGTTCTGCCAGAGTTTATTATCTAATTTTCTCTTTTTATAGCCTTTTTCTAGGTTTCTGAATACGTGAGGATCTGATGTTAGGCGATGGATTAATAGACATTTAATTCTCCATAACTGCTTAATCCCCCTAGGGTTATTTTTAAAAAGAAATACAAAATAAATATATATATATGTATATATATGAAAAGAAAGACGTATGTCAAACAGATTTTTATTAATGGTAAAAACACAATATACAGCATGAAGCCACACCTTATGAACTCCTTCTGTTTAACAAAACTTTTACAAACAAACCAACAATTAGGTAACAAACTACAAGTGAACATACTTACAAAGTACAACTACCACCATTATATTACACTCCCAGACTGTAAATGAATCCAATTGTTGCAGTACTAAAAACAATGACAGTCTCATTATTACTTGTTTATTATTTTGCGCAGGAATAACACAATCGTGACATCACTGTAATTCAACTACCCCTCTGAATAAGCGGTCTGTCAGCGTTGAATGGCATGGCGTCAGCAGATTAGAGCTTCGTCAGCTAAAGTTGACACAGCTCTTGCAGAGATATATCTGAAATAAAAAGCTGACAGGATCTGATAGCAAGGCAAGCTCCTTTTTTTTACGGTTGGACAATGAAAGGCCACTATACCTGAATCAGCTTTTTTTTTTGTGGGAATAGAGCACCGTTTAGTAAGCTCATGTGTTATAGCACTCTCACCTGTCTAGGTCAGCAAAAAGCCATTATGTTTTGCCAAAATGAATACCAGACATTTGAAAGATCCTTCAACAGTCTTTCCTAAGACATCATTCCCTCCCCTTGCGTCTCCTTAAACCTCTGTGCCATCTCGATGATATATGATTCCAGTGGAGCTCAGAGTAGGATAGAAATGCCCACTGGACCCAGTGTACTGGCTCAGAATGGGGCTAGAGTAACCTAATGAAGAGTGGGACGGTGAGGATGTGAGCACAGAGGGAGCTGGTACCTGTGGTACCCACTCTGAGACACCTGAGTTGGGGGAATAGTTGCTAAAGTTTCCTGGCTGGGTAGGTCTATGCGGTCCATCTAGGGGAAGGTTAATCTGCAGCGGCCTGGTCAACCCATCTCCCCCGACCTCGTTTGTTGCTCCAGTAGAAACTGTAGACATTTCAGACAAGAAGCTGCTCAGGCATGGCGTGGGACCCGACAGTGAAGGGGAGGGGATTCTGTCCGGTGTCGGGGACATGGTAAGGGCAGGGTGTTTGGGGCTTCCCCTTTCACTGTCTCCTGACTCTGGAGGCCCTGAAGTGCCGTCACCACTATTGAGGGAGTCAGACTTTCTCTTCCTTTTACGGCGAAAGTTTCCATTGTCAAACATCTTCTCGCAGTTCGGGTCGAGTGTCCAGTAGTTGCCTTTACCTATTGTACAAGATGCAGTTTAGATATGCATGACTTAATCAAACACTTACAGTTTAAAAAAAAAACTATTTGAGTACAACAATAAAGTCACAATTTGTCTGAGTGTGTTACCTGGATCGTCCTCATCTCTTGGCACTTTTTTGAAGCAGTCATTGAGTGACAGGTTGTGTCTGATGGAATTCTGCCAGCCAGCTTTACTCTTGTTGTAAAAAGGAAAGTTATCAGCAACGTACTGGTAAATCTGACTCAGTGTCAGTCTCTTGTCTGGTGCTCCATGGATAGCCATTGCAATCAGAGCAGAGTAGGAATAAGGTGGTCTGACCAACTTCATCAGATCTTCTTGTGAGGGAAGTGAGAACCAACTTAGTTCCCCTCCTGGACCCCCCGGTCCAGCTGGTCCCAGGTAGGGTCTCTGCATGCCGTAATGCTGAGGTACAAACGGTGGGCCTGGATTCCCTGGTGGGCCATTGCTGGACAGGTATGAAGAGGAGTTGATCCCGGGGCTGTTGAACCAAAGGTACGGGTTTGGAGATGAGGTGGTGTAGTCACTCAGTTCATAGGAAGAAGGAGCTGTCCGCTGAGGACTCGGCAGGGATGGAGGAGGGTAGTAGCATTCACCGTACATGCTGAGCTCTGGAGGTTCCTGGCCTAAACTTGGAAACTGTGGACCACAACGAGGAGGTGACTGGCTCTGGGTCTCAAATGAAGACATCATCAAGTTTCTTTGGACCTCTTACCCTCTTCTGTTCTGCTTGTTGTTGTCCTTCCTCTTCGACTAAAATTACTGACAGTTGTGCCAGTTCCTGAAAGTCTTTCTTTTTCAGTTCTCACTGAAATATCGACCAGTCATCAAAATAGTTTTTTCTTAGTTTTAAAGTTGAGCTCTGTTCTTCTCCGATCCTTTCTTGTCTGCTTGTCCTTGCTCTATGTCAAGGTGTCACCTGTCACAAGGTCTATATCTTCTCATTTGGCCCGCCCCAGTGTGTCTCGATTGGTGCTTTTTCTAAGGTGAGAAGCCTATGGGTTTCTCTCTTCTTCTTTTTTTTTTTTTCTGTTGTCAGCTAATTCAGTCCCCTGAGGGGGTTTTGTTCACTCTCACTTAAATAATTTTCCACTCAATTTGATGGTCTGGCATAAACTCATTTCAGATTTTTTTTTTCTTTTGTGTGCACAGTAGGCTACAAAACACTAAGAAATGTACAAGTTGAAAATAACAGTTTATTTAATAAAAAAAGTGTTTATAATAAAACTTGTTTTTTAATTGTTTTATTTCATAAAAATATATTCCAATGTTTTTGATTTTTTATGTTTATGATTGTTTTTTCAGCACTTTAATCTAAATTATCAGATTTACAAAAACTTGCAGACTAATGGTTGACATAGACGTATAATGCAAAATAAAAAAGAAACAAGGAAGGCAGATAATATCAGTTAATCTGAAGGCTTTGTGCTAGTTGGAAGCTCCCTAAATCAAATTTTGTGTGGGACTCCAACTCAATGTTTTTTTTTCTTTTATCAAAATAAGAAAAACATGAGAAAGTGAATTGTTTTTCATGTTTGTAATGTTATTTTCCTTTACGAGAGGTCAAAGGTAACAAACACGTACTTTATACATGACTCAAATTGAAAATGCAAAGTTTAGCATTTCTAAAGCGGGACTTTAATTGAGGTTTCATTAAGGCCTATTTTAGCATTTAATAGCTTTAAGGCTAGCAATGTGCTAGACCGGAAAAATAACGGAAGCTGGAAGTGCGCGCGCTCATTATTAACGAGCCGAGAACTTTCTTTCTTTCTGAGCTCCAAACCGGTTTTCCACGGTGAGTTTTAATTTCTGGGTAAACAAATAAACAGTATTACATTTTGAGAGATGGAATAAACCCCCCACAAAATAAGCTTCAGTCCGAAATTCTCGTGTTTTGTCATGACGTTGAAGGTTCAACTACCCCGGTTTTCCCTGCAGCTGCTGCCGTGCTAACTTAAGGGCTCTTGCTAACCCAACGGCCCTAACTGTTTTCTCTCGGAGCGCAATATAAAAAGCATGACTCATTTATAACTACATTAATGACTATAACTTTGCCGTGGCGTGTTTCTGTGGTTTATTTAAAAGTAAAAGACGTGAGTTGTGTCATTAAATCAGTGATGCCCGTACATAATATAGATGGAGGATCCGTCATGTCCCGTGGTGCCTTCACGGAGCAGCACCGATATGTATGAACTGAATAAGGATTTGGAGAGAATGATTGAGGATGTTGAGAACATATCAGGTGTGTGTAATCGCGTGGCTCTGCCAATCATATTGTTACAGCTAATTGCGCTGTAATGGGGGCGGGGGGGATCCATTGATTTAACGGCGTGTGCTTTATACATTTGCGCCCACCCGCAGTGCAGCTGACCTGGATGGCTTATGACATGGTGACGCTGCGAACCGGTTTCGACGGGGAGGCGTGTATGCGGGAGCTGGAGGAGGCGCACAGCAGATGCAGGGCGGCTGTCTTTGGGGAAGCGGACCCGCAGCCGCAGATGGAAGCTGGAGCTGAGAAAGCTGACTCATCACAATGTCAAACTGTAGATTAAGTCGCATTAAATTATACTCGGATTTATTGCTTCCATGTTAAAGTGCAGTCTTGTTTGCTTGCTTTATGTTAATATTGACTAATTTACACGAGTTTCTCAAGTTTTAAACTGTTCTGTTTCAATGAATACTTTCAATAAATAAGCAAATATATGTAACATGGCAATCTGTCATTTTTTAATCACTGACTTGATTTATTTTTTCTTTTACAAAATTAAATCAAAAATGTATATTCTGATGCTTAAAATACATTCACAATTACGTTTCAATTTTTTTATTTTTATTTTTTGTATTTTTTTTACATTTGTGCAACAATCAAAGCACAGTAACATTACTTTTTAACATTGGCAGTGGTTATTCTCTTACGCCAGACTGGTGTGTGCACATAAATTGCTTCAAATGTTCTCTTGTAGCATTTTTCAGATGGAAAACGCAGAAAAGGAAGAAGAACAAGCTACTACCGCTGTCAGCACTGCTCTGGAAAACATCCTGAGAGGTTTAGACTTGCTGTCCAACGACATGGATCAATTGGCATGTATGTTTTAACTTTTTATCCCCTGGGTTTACATTTTCCCCAAAAAGTCTAAAGACACCTGCTCTTCCAGGTCTGAGAATGTGATACACTTGGAATATTACAGGGTTTTTTTTTCATATTTTCTTACAAATGTAGATGTCAGCAGTCCAAATTGGCATTAATTTGACAGCACTGTCTGTGAGAACATGAGTTGCTGATGTACAGATAGGGGTAACTGAAGGAGTTTCACGCAGATGGCTGTCTTGTCAGTGGCTCTGACGTTATTGCAACTTAAATTCTGCCTCGGGCAATGGTTGTGGTTAAGTTGGCAGTCAGAGCAGTATGCTCTTTTTTTTATCATTCTTACTTATAGCCATCAGCTCCTTTCAGTCACAGACTCAAAGTGGAATTTTCTAACTGCTTTGACGCTTGGACTTGTGATGGTGTGTTTGGTTTTGTCTCTTTATGACAAATAATTGTTTTGGATTTTCTAATACTTGCTGCTTCATTATTTTGTCATATACGTTGCCCTGCAGAAGTTCTAATAACTTGTGCTGTTCTATATGTTGTCACCTTACACCACATTAAACCAGTTGCATTCATTTGTTTTATGTTTAATAACAGTGCTGTGCATTTGTATTCAGCTTCCCTGGGTGAATACTTTGTAGAAAAAGTGGAAAGTAAACTAAATTGTTTTGCAGTCTCTAATATGGTTTCTTCCATAACTGCCTTTTATTAAAGTTTATCCATCTTTCTATCAAGTCTGATCAGTTTCCCCATCCTTGCTGGCCATAGTTAGTGGTTAAGGTCCCACAAATGGTAAATAAAAAATTCTGGGTGAGTCAATGGTTTAGCGTGACACTACACTTTTAAAACAATTTTTTGTCAAGTCAAATCTTAAATTCCCTAGACCCTCTTAGACACGATCAGATGTGGACGTGTTGCTTTTTCTATGCAAGCTCATTTGTTTGTACTCATCTGTTTGTATACAAAAGCATCATCCACTGTAAGTCACAATGACAAGGAAGTAACAAGTGATCATAAAGATGTCAGCGAGCAAATTAAGTCCAGCAAATCTGAGTCATGCAGACATGACAGACTGACGCAGTTTGTAATTGAAGGAGGGAATAAAAAGATACACTGTGTATACAATTACATTTTTCCCTACGCGGATTGTTTTAGCTGCAATAACAGTTGCCATTGACCCGAGGCTACAGTGATAAATGATACTGGGTTTCTCTCTGCAGTGCGAACCCATCAGAAGCAATGCGATCTGCTCATCTCTGTTAGCCACCCTGACAAAAAGGCATTTCTCCAAGGAAAATCCCAGAGGCAGTGAAGCAGCAGCAGACTGGACTGAGCCTAACCTGAGGCGTGATGAGCAGAGGTAATCTGGGTGGAAAAAAGTGCACAATTAAAAATAAATAAATAAATCCAGTATGTAATATGAGAATTACATAACAATGACCTTTTGAGCTTTTGAATATTGTGACATTTATTTCGGAGGTTATTAAAACATCTAAGAAAAGCAACACATGTGCATGCAAAGATTTGCATGTGTGGAAGACAGAAACATATGCGAGCACTCACATTAAACCTGCTGCTGGCGTGGTCAGAGTCCCGCAGGGTGCAGCAGACAGCACTGCGGCTGCTCCTCAGAGCACTGGTCTGTGGCATCTATGAGCAGCAGCGGGGTGTTCATGTGATGGATAATCAGCTCCTTCACCCTGAGGAAACTCTAAAGCACAATAGCACACACTGAAAATGACGGGGACCTAATGACGCAGAGCAGCACAAATCGGCATCACACATTCCCTGAGGTGTGCCGCAATACGTGAACTTTTCAGCTAAATAAAAGAGAGCACTTCTTTTTCTTTTCTTTGTTTAGGTTCACAGCGCATTTTAGCTTACCTTAGTTTTGTTTGTGCCATTTCCAAGATAATAGAAGTCATTTTGTCTTTGGATCTTAATGTTGAAAATCTTGCCTTGATTTAGCAGCATCAGAGTGTAGGGATGTGCTGAGCCTTGTGAGCTGTCCCTCACTAAGAACGCTCCATCCTTCAGGAGAGGAAACCACACGCTTGTGAAATTGTTTGTTTTTTATGTCTCGCTGAAACGTGTGTGTCTCTCTGTGTGTCTGAATATTTTATCAACAGAGAAAATGATGCAGCATCAAACCTTGTTCACCTCCCAGAGAGAAACTTCAGCCTGTTCTCGAGTTGTCTTTCCCTTGTACCAGCTGGGATCCAAACCCTGGATTCACAGAGAGAAAAGCCACAGTAAAACAACAATTTTTTTTTTTTTTTAGATTTCTGCTTGATATTTTTGCAGTAGTAGAGATAGAATATGTAGCATGTGTAGTGACAGCAACCTGAGTTGCTAATACAAAGGTGTTTTTTAATTCTGTATCAGACTTGGAAAAGGTTTTTGCTGTTGTATTGTACAATATCGCCATCTGCTGTTTTGACACTGAAAAAGTACTTTTTGTGTATCTAACTTCAATATAAATCACTACCATTTTACCTGTACATGTTGCTTATTGACATGTTCTGTTGTTCTTATTGATTGGTTTGACAGAACGTGTGATATTGGTATAGGAACATGTGGAGTTATATTATTTGCTCTGTAAAAGAAGAGGTAAATACAAGTGAACAGAAAAAAAAATGAGGGCAGATAATTAACTTCAATAAAGGAACCGCAATCATTTTTTTAGGTTACTTTACCTGTTAGACGCATGCAGCTGCGGGACTATTGGCAGTGGGCGCCTCCTGGTAAGTGAGCCAGCATCCAAAGCAACGCTGCCCTCTGCTGGATAATTATAGATAATGTGAAATATAAGAAAATGCTTTAGCAACATGTAAACTTTCTTTTATGAACTGTATATACTTAAGGCTGAATAGGCTCTCTGGGGAACCGGAGGTTTTTCTGGCTTCTTATTTGTGGGCCGTTGAAAATTGAGCTGAGCTGAAATGAGGAATGACAAACATTAATTGGTTTTGAAGTAAACACAATCAAAGTTTCTGTGCTCTCATCATATTTCTCCTCATAGAAGCTTTTCATTACCTGTGGGAAGGCAGGGAACTTTAAACATCTTCTGGGGTTCAGGCAGTGGAAAGACTGGATGAAGCCCGTAATCTTCTCTTTCTTTGGCATTATGCAGATTATCTGTTTTGAGTGGCTCAGTAAGAGGAACGATGTAGTTTCCTGCTTCCTCGTTAAACTCCTCATAGTCACTTTCTCTGTCCTAGTTAAGGAAAGAGTCTGACATACTTAATATGCATTTAAAGTTTGATCATACTAATTATATGTTGCCTCTTTGTGCCACATGGAAAATTTGGTAACACGGGTTGTGCATAAGACTGACATGACACTGCCACCTGTCATGAACATGAAGGAGTCATTTGGTAAATAATGACACTTTTAATGCAAAGTTGCTTTAAAAAGATGCATTGAAAGTGCCAATTTTGCATTAAAAGTGTCATTATATATCAAATGACACTTCAAGACATCAGTCAAAGACATTCATAAAGACTCCTTCATGTCCATGACAGTGTCATCTCGGTCTTATGTACGCCCCGTCAAATAAAGTGTTACCAAATTATTATCGAAATTTTATTGCTTCAACGTAATATTTGTTTTTTTATTGTAACTAAAACAGACAAAACAGAACTACATAGTGTTTCACTTACAAGCTCATCCCGGACTTTTTCACCTTGCTCTGTTTAAAAATGAAAATTAATTTGATGGCTATCAAATTGTTGAAAATGGTTGACTAATTTTATTTGCAAAGTTTAAGGAATTGGTTTTTACCTTCTGTCAAATGATTTCTTCTCTTAGATCTGCACATTAAATGAAGGTTAGTTCTCCTTTTGATCGATTTCAGATTACATAAATAACATCTCTTTACTTACTGGTAACCAAAACACTTCCTCTTTTCTTGCCTATTGAGATCTCTTTGAATTTTTGCAAGTATTCTGCAAACCATGAGAGCCAAACAATCAGTGTAATATCAACAGTTTAAACTTGTTGCACTATAGCCTGTTCTGATTCTAGTTAAATAACATTTATGCCAAACTCACGGCGTGTAGGTGATTGGGAACACTTGAAGATCGCGCTGGATCATATGCTAAATGAGTTGCATATTTTGGAAATAAGGAAGTCTGTTTCTCATTAAGATAATTATTCAGAATGCTGAAGACTGTGAGAGCTGGAAACAAACTCACCAGAAATTGTGCTCCAGTTATGCTCCTCTTCAACACTACATTATCACAGCCGAATAACTTGAGCTGAGAAAACAAAAACGCATGTTTGATGAAGCACTAAATAAAGGTTTTTACATATGTTTCTATGCTAATTTTGGACTGAAAATAAAGCTGCCTTTCTCGTTTGGGGCATTCTTTTGTTAATAAACTGCAACTAGGATTAATTCAATGCAATGATGAAACAACTTCTGCTCTTTGCATTCTAAGGTTTGCCTTCATTTCCGGAAAATGAATTGTCTTTAACATCTTAGAATTGCATAAATGCAATGTTAAAAACAACACACGACACAACCCGATCTGTCATTGCACCCTGTAAAAAAATCGAAGCCATTACAGCATTCAGTCAAATTGAAAATCATGAAGTATGAGCACTTTTATTATAGCAGTGGTGTAGCATTTGCCAAAGCAGTCATGCTCAAGCATGTCTTAATACCATAAAGAAAAGATTCACTGAACACACAAGTGTTGCTGCCCATGTTACTGCTAAAGTCATTTCTAAAATAACATCAAATGTATCGTTTTAAAGTAAAAGAAAAAATAAGATATTCAACTGCAAATTATGTTGCTTGTTAAAACATACAGAAAATTAGCCAATCGGAAGTTGTTACTTTTATCTAGATTATGGTAAAGATAATTTCCTGAAGTTAAAACCAAGCATCAAAATAGGGAGTAAAAGTAAGTGATCTTGAACATAGATGAGAGAAAGTTAACATTTGTCTGCACATCAATCCTTGAAGGACATTCAGTAAAGCAGCAGAAGAGCACGACAGATACCACGCCAAAGAAAAACAAACTGAGGACAGTTTGCTTAAACTCACTAAGATTGGATTATAACAGTTATAACCTCTGGGTTTGATGTGTCAAGATTTTCTCTCAAGCAGCAGAACCATCCTGCCTTGTAGGATTGTGGTGGTAGTATAATAGAGATGTAAATTGTTTCTTGACATACTTTGGATGCAGTTGTAACCACTGAACATCCCACCTAAATATTGTTGGTGACCAAGACCATCCCTTCATGAACATCTTGTTCCCACCTTTGGGGTTTGCGTTTTGAATACAGCAAATTAATCAGCTAATTATGAATTTCACTTCAAAACAAGCCAAAACTGTAAAGGAATGTTTCTGACTTCTTTGTCAATCTGTGCCATCAACAAAAAGATGGTTTTAAAGGTAAAGGGGATTAAACTTGATGCTAGAAAATTGTCCCCCAAAAATTGCAGTTGCCTGTCTTCTCTGGTGGAAAAACGCTAACTAGTATTTGCTGAATTCACACCATCCCATGTTTAAAAAGTTACAGAACCCCAAAGATCGCAGGTCAGTGGTAGTGAATCAAAATTAGTATTTATCATTGAGCTGGAACAATCTAAATGAGGAAAAGGAGCAATACGTAAGAATGATTACTGTTTGCTAGAAAATTCAGATTATTACTGCTAAAGATAGTTCCACAAGCCTTTAAAATTTGCCGTACCCTTTATAAACACCCATTTTGGTAGTGTAACTTGTAAATAAACACCAGGATCAGATGTAGCTTGTTTGAAACATTCCAGAGATCAATTTATTGTGATGTATGAAACGTGAAAAATTCAACACCCTGTAACATACTAGCTGATATGCTAAATTCACCTAGCTTCAGTAAGTACTTCAAGTAATTTACTGTAAAAATATTGTAAGACATTAGAGCATAACTGCTGAATGTAGTGGAAATGTTTACTTTCTTATGAATCAACTCACCTGTCTCATGTAGTCTGCTAACTTCTTTGGGTCCCACACCATCACGTCTTCTTTATTGGGACCTTCGGTTAAACTCATCTTTGTTTCTTAATGGCAGATTAGCAACAAATCAAGCTGGGTTGTCTCCACATTACAAAAGACTTAACCATAAAGACTAAGGCTTTAGAAGAACCTCCTCTGCCACAGAAACTTTTGACATCCTCTTCTTACCTCTGGTCTAATTAAAGAATGTTTCAGTGGTCATTAAGGCCTATCTTTGGAGCAGTTAGTCACTGCAAAGTGTGATGCCTCTAAACACAAAGCCTGCTGATTTCCTCTTACATGCTAGTGTACACTGTAATAAGTTTGCTAGTTTTGAAAGCACTTTAATAACAGGCTTTGAATCTAACAATTTCTTAAACAGTTGCAGAACTGGTCAGGTTTAAATAAACTGTGAATCTTTAAGCTCTTTGATTTAGCTTTTCTTACACAGAGCAAGTGTGTTTCTTACACACCTACTCTGTGTAGGAAACACAGCGCAAGCGTTTCCTTGCTCTGAAAGAAAGAAACACTTTTCTACACTTTGTGTAGGGTAATGCGTTTTCTACACACTTTGCTCAGACATTAAAAAATAGCATCCTGTCATTTTATATTACCAGAGGAAAGTAGAGTTTTGAGCTTAATTTTAAAGGTAATAACCTTTACTGCAAATCTGTTATTTTGCTCAAATATAAAATCTCAATATGAACGATTTTCAGCTGTAGGCCTTTTATATTAAAATATACATATTTTAATACTTATGATGTCAGTCATAAAAGGTATTTATGTCTTACTTTTTTGTCGATGCAACATATATGAACATATATATACCACACATATATATATATATATATATATATATATATATATATATATATATATATATATATATATATATATATATATATATATATATATATATATATATATATATATATGACATATTCTTTAAAAAAAAACATTGCCAAGTTACTAACCAATGACATCCTGTCACTGAGCAGTTCTATGAATCGCTTTTATCTTACTTTGTCACCTTTATTTTGAAACCCACAAACATTCAGTGCAACAAGTTACCATTAGAAGTAACTAAATTTGTAAACAGAGTGGACTTCTGTATAATTTGATCTCAGAGTAAATTCCTCAGAAGTGCCATAGAGAACATTCATGAACAAACAGCATCACAAACACCAAGAAACACACCAGGAAGGTCAGAAAATGCAGAGACATTACGAGCAGGGATAAGGTTTTATAACATCAGAGGATGTGAATGGATCACTTCTCTGTCCATAACGTGGACTTTGAAAGAGTATGACACATTGCAAGGGCTCTTCATGTTTGAACTTTTTTTACCTATATACAAGTGTTCTGTGTGGGCAAACTAACACAATACAACCTGGTGGTAGTTTTCTGCATTGCTGCATTATGTTAGCAGCATCATGTTGTCTTAAATAGGTGAAGGTAGCTATTCAGTTAATGGGAGGAAGAATAAAGTTAAATACGGAGACGTATTTAACATAGGGGTTTTTTTCTCAGTAAGACAGCAACTCTAAATATAGTACCAGAACCGCAAGGGAATGGAAAGACGATTAAGGCAGATTTATGTGTTAGGATTACCCAGACAAGATCTAGACCTAAATTCAGTTGAATATTTGTGGCAGTGTTTGAACACTGATGCTTACAGATGCCCTACGTCCAATCTAGCTGAGTTTGAACTATTTTGCAAAGACGAACGGACAAAAGTTCAGTCTCTGGATGCTAAAAGCTGGAAGGCATAACCTACAAATGTTATGATCTGAAGCACACCTGAACATGCTTGCTCACAGGAGTGGACAAGCATTTTCAGTTCTGCTTCAGAACTGCTAAAAGCATGTTTGTGTTAGGAGCATGTTCAAAGCCTGTTCAGCGTGCTTTTAATTAGTTTTTCACAAATGCTTGTTTATAAGAAAGGATTAACTGCAAGATGTCTGGAATACCCACGTGCAAACTGACATGCCAAATAAAATAAATGTCTTTTCCTAAGATCATTGTTCAGATTCTTTCATGGCATTGCATCAAATTCATGTAACTCATTTTTCACACATTAAATTTCCTTGTAAACAGTAGGCATGCCTGTGTTAAATAAGGGGTTTAAAATTACATGTTTTCAGTTTGAGGCTTTATATTTATTCTTTGACCTGGTAAAGATCTAAATACATTTTAGCCTTACACAGAGACTTACAAAACCTTCAAGTTTAAATAGTCAATTAGGTCTTTTCTTTCTAAATTGTAACACACTGTGTTCAACGTTGTCTCGCAGCAGCAACTCCGCCCTGCGTCAGCCCCCCCCCAACCCCCCCTGGTATCTCACACCCAGGTGACAGGGGAGGGCAGCTGGAAGAAGGGGTGATCAATCACTCTTAGATTGTCACAGACCCCCAGGCTCGCCTGGATGAATACATGAGTAGCTCAGGGGGGTCCCAGTGGGAGATCCCCTGCAACCTCCCTCCCTGTTTCCCTCTTTTGTCCAGATTAGGAAACATACACCCCCCACAAAAGCTGGGTACTGTGGATGAGGCAGAGAATACAGTAATTAAAAAGCAAACACTTAAAGTAAAGTGTAAAGTAAAGTTTCACACTTAAAGTGTGAAATTAATTTAGAAAGTCCAAATCGCTTGAGAAGTGGCTTTGCAATGGGGAGTCATTGATCAACTCTGCAGAAATTAAACTTTTTGTGAAAATAAAAGGATTGATTAGAATCTTTTATTTATTTTTATTTTTTTATTAAAGCCTTAAAATACTTGGTGGAGTGCTGGGTTTAGGTGCACTGGTTTGTATCTACATTATTACTCAGGGCAGCATGGAAAATATAAGGCACATTCAAGAGTTTGATGTTGATTAAGATACAGATTGTGATGGTGCTGTTTGAACACATTTTGCCAAAAAAAAAATATATTTTGATTCAATGAAAACAGTTTCTTTGCTTTCTTATTTTGTATTACTTTATTAACAGTGAAACCTCATATCTGTACCTATAGTCTATTTAGGTTTTAGCCTGTAAAGAGTACAGAAATGAACCCGCCTAATTTCTGGTAAACTTCCACAACCCTCTGATGCCCTCTAGGCACAGACCCCTGAAGACTTCAATACCCTTGTCATCTCTTACTCAAAGACTCTGTCAGGTTCTTTGAATGAGAACCTGGCAGATTTATAACACACCCAGCTGTGAGGAAGATTTTTAGAGTTCCAGGGGGTCAAGAAGAGGAAACAAATGAACGGCTCATTCAGGCCAGTGGATAGAGAAAACAACCCCCTTGGACCTAATTATCTTCAAATTAAAACATCAGAAATATTTGATTTTTTTTGTTTTGTTTGTTTTATTAAAAAGCAAGCGTTGCGCAGCTGCAAATATCTGCAATGCAAAGGGACACAAACTAATGCAGCCTGTGTAAAAAAAAAAACATAACAACAAAAAAACAACATTTGTTTAACCCACAATGTATTTGACAGACTACATTTGGCGTCCCTCATGTCCCTCACAGCAGCCAGTTCTGAGAGAGGGATCATGAGGTCAGATTGCTTCTACTTCTCCCTGGAAAGCATTCCCTAATCTGTCTTTGAATGCAGTCAATACACATTGGCATCAAAGTGACAGTGGATCAGCGCTGGATCAACACCTTGGCGAGGTGTTGATCTGCTGAGTGTTGGCTGTGTAATCCTCTCTTCAAGTGGATTCAGTCCATTCTCATTGTAATGTGTTAGTTCGATGCAGTAGCGAAGGAATGTATTAAGTGATGGATTTATTTATAAAAACAACTGGACTTTTTAAGAGATTTTTTTTATTAAAGAAAAAAAAAACGACATAAATATATGCGCAACGAAAACACGGAGATTGATTAATAGAAAGTGCAGCTATGCCGTCAAAAATACAAATATTTAGAAACTCATGTCTTTCATTTGGGTCCACGGTGTCTCCGCCAGACGGCATACCTGTCCCCGGCTTCCCTCTTCGCGCACACATGCTTGACTATGACTTGAGAGCAGTCCTCGCAATTCACCCTGCAGCACCAGTGGAACTTGCAGTTGCAGCTGCTCACCGCCTCCGTGCGCCTCTCCTCCACCCTCAGGCCGCACTCGTGGCACAGCCGGCGGCAGCTCCGGCGCTCCCACTGGCTCAGCCCGGCTCTGTGTTGCAGACACTCCCTGCCCTCCGTGCCGTGGAGCCCCACGCTGGCGTTCCTCCTGCAGTAGTCGGGCGAGTCCTCCAGGTAGATGAGCTCCGTCCGGGCCACGCCGCCGAACGCGCCCACTATGGCTCCCCGGCCGTCGGCGCTGTTTCCGGCCCGCACGCGCCTCTTGTCGGTGTCCAGCTTTTGCGCCTGGGTGTATTTGACCTTCAAGTAATTGCCGACTTCTCTAAAATCGGACAACTGCGTCCAGCACGTTTGCAGGCTGCAGCTCTCTGACATGCCGTGGCACCTGCAGACGCGTTTCGTCGTTGCCTTCACGGCCTGTGGGAAAATAGAGTTGATCGGCGCATCTACCTTAAACTGGAAATAGTCGCTTAAACGGGACATACTTGCCGTCCTGCCGCGTTGTTGTGCAAATTTACAGCGGCTCTCGAGTCCTGGCCTGTCTCCTGTGCGTCCACGTACTGTTTAGAAATCTTTTCACCAAAGTCCAAGTTGTCACTGCAGCCACCCCACAACCAACCGCGGCCACCTGCTTGCAGAGAAATCAAGTTACAAAAGCACTGATTTTACCGCTATTTTAGATCACCTTTCGTGGACCTCACCAGTTTTCCCATTATTGGAGACATCGCAGCCACAGTTCTCAAGGTCTCCCAGGCTGCAGTTCCTGGTCAGAGTGTACATGACTCCAGCAGCACTGATGGCATGGACGAAAGATGTTTCTCTGGTGGCTAAATAAACAGACATGGTTACAGTACCTGCAACTCTACGTCGACATTGGCCAGAAATTGCACGATGAGGAGAGCAGGCTCTGTGTAGCTGCACCTCTGCATCCTTTATCGTCAACAATAGCTACACCCTACCTCTTCTCAGACCTTTGGGGTGGGTTTCGCTGTCAGGACAGTTCCATTTGTCCCACGCAAACTGATGTTTGCACTCCTCAATCCCGTTCTGCGTGCCCACCTGCACGCTTTTTGCGTAGGTGAGGTAGGCCTGTCAAAGAGGCCATTTTGTTCAAGAAGTGTTCCTGGAAGAGCAATTAAAGCTACACATTTTTGTTTACCTTTGGTCCTGTCATCAGGAAGTTACTGGCCACCCTGAGAGAGAAAATAAAGAAATGAATGACCCCCTTTTCTAAATAAGAATCGCACATTACGATGTCTTACCAGGCGTGACCCCGGTCCGCTTTCAGATGAAGAAACAGAATGCAAAAAATCAAATGGGCCATTTTCATGTGCAGCACAATCCTATAGGAGATTTGGATCCGCGTGCCGCCAGTTTTCACTTTATTCCAACAGGGAACACATGGAGGACTTCTTCTTTGTTCCTCTGGGCCTGGGGAAGCTGATTGGGTGTCTGGATCAGGAAACGCCTTTATGCGCACTTCAAAAGGGTGACCCGCTCATGCCCGAGGCTGCGGGACACCAGGACACCAATATACAAACGGTGGAATCAAAATGCAACATCTGACAGAAGTGACCGAGTCTTACATGTCGCAGAAAATATTTATTACACAAAAATGTATAATTTATCACAACAACTTAAAAACTTAACGCGGGCTCCCAAATTCCCCGTGAAGCTTTTGCAGAGTCTGGGTTTTTAATAAAATGTTTAATATATACATTTCAATCAAAAATGGAGAAAGTGCAATAACAGGCGTCTGCTTACATGTCATTTCCGAGTCCAAATAATATATCCATAACGCAAAACGTTGCTGAGAAATCCATAATGCTTAGGTAATCACATGTTCGTGGGTAAACGACATCACTGTGGGCGCGTCATGGGTTTGCGTTTGTTTTTATTGTGCTGTTTCCTTGCACCGTCTTTCCCCGCGCAGTAATATTTAGTGACAACCTGCGTGCATTTCTCGCACCTGACTGTGCAGCACCAGTGAAATTTGCAGTTGCAGCTGCTGACCACCTCCGTGCGTCTCTTCGCCACTCTGAGGCCGCATTCGTAGCACAGCCGGCGGCAGCTCCTCCTCTCCCTCTGGGAGACGTCCCTGACGCCCTTCAGGCACTCCCGCCCCTCTGTGCCTTGCAGTCCCAGGCTCAGGTTCTTGATGCAGTAATTTGGGGAGTCCTCCAAATATACAAGCTCCGCTTTGGAGATGCTCCAGAAGGCGTGCGCAATGGCTCTCCTGCTGTCCGCGCTGTTGCCCGCTCTCATTGGCTTCTTGTCCATCTCCAGCTTCCTGGCGTGCTGGTGCTTCATCCTCAGGTAGTTCCCCACCTCCCTGAAGTCGGCCAGCTGCATCCAGCAGGTTTGGATGCTGCAACTTCCAGACACCCCATGGCATTTGCAGGCTCTCCTCATGGTTGCTTTGACCGCCTGTCAACAGAAACAGAGCATTGACGAGGATTACGCAATCTCGAATCTTTGTATGTGCATAAACGCCAAAAATGTCAAACTATCTCAGGAAATCTTACCAGTCTCCCCGCCTCGTTGTTATGGAGGTTGACTGCTGCGCGTGCATCATGCCCATCTTCCAGGGCATCCACAAACTGTCGGGAGATCTTTTCTCCAAACGCAATGTTGTCACTACAGCCTCCCCAAATCCATCCTCTGCCTCCTAAAGCCACACACATAAACAAACAGATTATTATACCATGTCAAGTACATACAGATACTACTAATATATTCGGACCTGTCTGGCCAATTCTTGAGTCATCGCAGCCGCAGCTCTCAAAGTCCCCCAAACTACAGTTTTTGGTGAGCGTGTACATCACTCCAGCAGCGCTGATGGCGTGCACAAACGAGGTCTCTCTTGTGGCTGCAATACGTGATAGACAAAGATCAGTTAAGAGATTTGACTTGGACGCGTAATTTGGTTTCAAAAATGCGTAAGAGATCAAAGTATGTGGCCATTACGCACAAGACGGTGTGAGCGCACAGCCCCCAAATCCAAATATAAACGATTTCATTCCGATATATACATTTTAATTGGTTATAAGTGCGGGTGGATATTATGAGACTTACCAATTCGGAGGCTGTTAAGTGTGGATAGCTTAAGTGTGCTTTCTGGACAGTTCCACTTCTCCCAAGCGAATTGGTGTTTGCATTCTCGTATTCCTCTCTGTGCGCCCAACTGCACACTGCTGGCGTAGGTAAGAAACGCCTTGAGAGAGAGAGAGAGAGACAGAGAGATAGAGAGAGAAAAATTATGTTTATATTTTTTCAATAACTTCCAACACAAGAAAGTTAAATATTCTTAAAACAGAATTACAGTATTTTGTACAAGAGACACCTGTGCAATTACCTTTGGACCAGTCATGAGAAAATTATTCACTGTCCTGTGGGGAGAAAACAAATATATTCACCAATGTATGAGATTCGAAAAGCCAATAGAACATAATGTTTAAAAAAATGAACCAAAATAATGGACTTACCAAGTGGAAGCAAGCTGAAAGAGACAGAGCGCGGACAAGGCCACGGCTGAGAGGATATCCAGTTGCGCCATGGCAGATCTTCTGCTTGTGTCCCAAACGTATGTGCCGGGAGGGACTAAGACTAATGGCGCTGCCTCCCGGCTCCGTCTGTACTTATATGCTCCTGCCCGGCTGATTGAAAGATTTTGTCCCGCAGGTAACGTCTCGCTGTGAAAATGGGTCAATGACGAGCTGAATTACCGCGTCCCATTGACAAACAGGAGCCGTCGGCGCATGAGGTTGCACTTCAAAGAAGTTGCGCAGACCGTTCAACAGCCCCCTCATTCACCTGTCGCTCCCAGGCTCCGATCCTTATATGCTTTTCCCACGAATGCGAGCTTGTGGATGCAATTAAGTCAGAGCGCAGGTTTCTCGGGAATCGCCAAATGCAAGTGGAAATGCAAGCGTGACGATGTTATTTCAGGGCCGCAGAATTCTGAAACTGTGTCATAACATAAAAAAAGAAAAAGACATACCATGTCAAGCAACCCCCCCAACCCCCCAAAAAATAATAAAATAAAATAAAAATAAAGAAACAAAAACAAAAACACTAAACAAAACAAAACAAAAAAACTGCCTATAATAATTATAACTGTTCTTATTACACAGAGACAGCACCGAGGCTTGTTGTGTTCATGGGTGCTTGGGAAATGGGACCGGTGTCACCCTGGTATTGCAGAGCCGTAAAGCTTTTCAGACTGGACGCCATGTAGTCATGTAAATACCGCCTGACACGTTGGCGAAATTGACACGGTCGTGATAATAGGATAATAGATGTTTTCCCCATAGGAAACAACTCGGTGTGAAAAAAGTCTGGAATTTACAGGAGCGTAAACATTTGTTTCTTTTTTTTTCCAACCTTAAAATGCTCCAACGCGGTTATTTTTCTGGAGTTGATCTAATTCGAGCTTTTCTTTTCTTTATATGCATAAAAAGAGAGAGAAAAAAAGCAACGACAACAAATTGGCTGATCCATTTAGTCCTACGCGTAATTGTCTTCATTACGCACGGCCATTCTCCTCAGCACTCGTCCCGACAGTTTCTCCCTGTTCCACAAACTTTTACTTAATGCCAGAGTCGTCTAAGCCAGTGATTAACGTTACACTTATCCCATTAAATCTCCTCTAAAACGCTCAAAATCCCTCCTTAAAACAACAATCCACTCATCGTGCTGGACAATAGGCGGAGGGCCGAGGGCGAAGATAATCCTTTCTAATGAGATCATTCATTTTCACGGAAGGCTGAAACCAAGATGTGCGCGTTTAAATGAGTTTAAATGAGTCAATAATGACAGCAGATAATAGTTGTTGTTTTTTTTGTTTGTTTGTTTTGAGTGGCTCAGAAACACCGAAACCATCAACGAGAAATTAAGTGGCCGTCAATTTTGGTGACCTGTTTTTTTTTTTAGCCTTTTTATCGGGTGATCAGCCACAACGTTGTGAACGTCAACATGCATAACTTAATTAAATACAGTAGGGCTATTATTATGGGTTTTAAAGGTACGCCATGGCCTCTTGAATACACGTTAAAGATGCGATATCTTAACACATCTCGCACACATTAGACCGTTCGCGCAGCGTTGATTTATGCTCTGGAGAGTTAAGGCGAGAGGACTGGAGCAATGAAGGGCCAGAAGGTGACAGTTCTGACAGGCCGCGATAAGGTGGCAGGAGTGGAGACGCCATCCCGGAGATGTGGGGGCGGTGGGCGGTCATGGCAGGTGATCTTTAACTAAATGACCCCATGTAATGGCTGGATTTGCCATAATTGAATACTGTTTGATGAGGCTGTTTGCTTAAGGCAATGTTTGGAGTACTAGTTTATAGATTTACTGGTGATTTTATCAACCCTGATGGACGTCAATCAGTGATGGTCGCCATGCTTCTCACCCTTCAGCTATCAGGGCTTTTCAGGGCTGTTCTCCTCCTCATTATTATTATCATTATTATTGGTCAGGAGGTGATATTTTAGTGGCATCTAGAATATCATTTTTCATCTAATGACTTATTTTTCCCCTTACATCCAATTCTGAATAACATCCTTTTTCTGATGTTTACATTTCAGAAGACATGTCATGAGAATGTTTGTAACTTTGTAGAGTTTGTCTTGCGTGATATTTGCTGTAATGTAGTAATATATGCTATACTATACTTTTTTTTTTACTTCAGTGTACATTATTCATAAACGCTTGAAAAGTTGAAATTTTTGAGCAGTTCGCTCCACTTTTAAATCTGTAAACACACCTCTCTGCAAGGACTCTGGAGTATTTTTAAAAACCATTGTGACTGGAAACAATTTGTCACTGCACCTTTATTTTTGGAAATTATTCACACCTTCTCATCCTTTGTAGGTTGCAGTCTGCTTAGTCTGCAGACTGCTCAACTGAGGAAAAATATAAAAGCAATCTATTTAATAGCCTATATATATATATATTTGATTTTCTTTTGAGAACCAGATGCATTGTGTGCAGGAGCAGAAAGAAAGCTTGATGTCTTACCAGCATGTACAGATAATTTGTCGTAGTTTTGGATGAACTTGCACCCTGCACACATAACAGGTAGATCTACAATAGATAGGTGTTTGTAGCTCTAGCTTAATTCAGTAAGACAACACCAAAAGAGATTCGACTCAATATTTTCAGACATCGTGACTCAGGAGATTTTGAACGATACGCTAATGCCTGTTCATTTCAGAGCTCTTCCGGCAGCTTCGACTTTGTGATACAGTAATTCTGCTCACCGCAGCTACCATAATATAAACCCAGAATGAATTGAAAAAGTGAATTGAAATTTGGCCAATCCAGTTATGTATTAGTTTGAAACTATCGCATTTCTTCAGCATTTCAATAGTTTTTTAGGTTGTAATTGATATAATCCACTTGATTTATATAACTTCATGTAAAATATGAAGCATTAAAAAGTAACTTTTTTTTAAAAAAAATAGCACATTTTTTAAATATTTGCATAATTTTTTTTTATGAAATCATAAACATTTTATTTATTAAACTCTCATTATTTATGGCAGAGGAATCTTTAGGGTCAACTCATATTGAGTGTTTTGTCCAAGCCTTTTGTGTAATATTCACAAAGTGACCCCATCAGATTTCTCACACACACACTTTTTAAAGTATTGCAAAACCTTGCTGAACCTTTTAAATTAGCCAAATCAACCTCTTATCTCAGTGTTGTTCTGCGTCTTTAGTGATTAAATGCTTTTTGCGTCCATGTAATGCTCAGAATTTTGTCTTAATGTCTGTCAAAATGTGCGTCACTTAAATAAATGATTATATTTTTCACAAATTTACCAATTAAGAACAGTTTTCCTTTAAGTAATCCAATATTAATTCATTGAATATCTAACATACTAAGCTTTAAGCAAGAACCTTGCAACTGGAAGGAACTTCTCTAGCCAAAAGAACGGCTTTTGGGTTAAGATTAAACCTTCTGACTTGTGATAAATGTTTGACTCTACCTTAAATAGTGCATCAGACTTATTTAGAAAATATTCTCCTTTTCCAACGTAGCAACTGTGTACAATTACCATTAGCATCTTTGGTTTTTCTTTTATGTTTTGTGTTTCTTTTACTGAAAGAAATCACGAGAGAATAGGGCTTATTGTCATTACGAGCACCGTTCTTGATACATTTTAATTTGATTGATGGAATAAGTCTTAATTCTGAAATGTAAACAAAAATATTGTTGCTGCTTTAAGTGTGCAATAAAATTTTTCCACCAGGGAGGAACACATTTATCTTTCAGAACTGATATTTGATCGATTGGAAAATCAACTGTGATTTATATAAGTGGATATTCTGCAAAGTAGAATGCTCAATCACCACAGTCATACAGTGTAAATATAGACCAAGAACCTGCACACTGACACAAATTAGAGATGAAAAAGCACAAAACACACAGTGTCCATGTCTTCATGTTTATTACATAAAGAAAAGTAAAAAGTTTGTTAAGAAAAAAGCCCACATGAGTTGACTTCAGTTGCCCCTGTGTCCACAGACAAACCCCACCCCCAATGCAACTTTCCAGCCTGAATGCCTGCCTCTCTCCCTGTGCTACATCACTTCACCCCCACCCTAGTTTGGCAATACTGGAGACATGTTAGCTACAAGCTAACAGCACAAGACAGGCACTCAGGCTGACGTTTATGTGTGTGTGTGATTTGTAAGAGAGCCCCATATGTTAGGATGCCAAAATATCTTGTTAGCACCCCGGGGAGCTCAGAGAGCACCCTTATCCGAAGACAATGTAGGTGATTCAAATACTGGGATAATCAAAAGAAAGTGCTTTTTTTTTCTGTGGCATCTCAGCTCCTTCTCTTCATGTGCTCAAGTCAAGGTGTGGCATCGCCTTTCCTCTCCTGCTCAATGGCTGCAAAAGAAGAGAAGAGAAAAAGATGCTGCTGGTTTAAGCTTGCAATGCAGAGAACCTGTGGGCGGGTGCAGCTTTTTGGGCTTGCTGATACTGCAGCCGTTTGTTTCACTGCTCTCTTTGCTGAATACGTGTGAAGGTGATAATGGGAGATTCTGGCAGAGGGGGCGAAAGGAGAAAAAAATAAAAAATTGCCGCAGAGGACACACTCACTCTCTTTGGTGGGAAGAGGGTTCTTCTCTTTTGTCTCCGTCTTCTTCAGCTTTGTCTTGTCGAAGCGAGCGATCTCGGTCATGTCTGGCTTGTCCGACATTTTGGCTGTGAAAGACGAGATGTGGAACTCAGTGCGCCGTTTTGACCTTTTGTGTCAGGCATCGAGTTGACTGTGCATCGCAGGTCGATGTATGCCATTTAAGACAAATGAAAATCAGTACCGAGGCCTATCAGCTGTTTTGGTCGGTGCATGCACATAAAGG